GAAAACATAGGAGGTAAATATTTGTGGCCTTGGATTACACAATAAATTTTTGCACTTGACACTAAAAGTACAAACAAAAAATACATAAATTAGACTCTGTGAAAATTAAAAACTTTTGTGATTTGAAAGACATCATCAAAATGTGAAAAAAAAACCCTACCTATTGGGAACTACGTTTATTAATTGAGTGAGAAATCAACCTGTATACCATACCCCAGTGACATACAATTCACCCATGTAATAAACCTGCACTTGTATCCCCTGAACCTAAAATAAAATTTGGAAAAAACAAACAAACAAACCAATATAATTAATTTTAAAATAAAAGAAATAGAGAAGACAACTCACAGAATAAAAGTATTTGCAAATCATATATCTGGACTTGTATCAATAATTAATAAATAATTCTTGCAACTCTACCATGAATATAAAAAGTCTTCAACATTTTTAGTTATTAAGAAAATGCAAGTCAAAACCAAAATGAAATACCACTTCATGCACATAGAAAGGGTACCAAAAAAAAAAAAAATGAATACCACAGCCTGGATGGCATCAACAACAGAAATTTATTTGTTCACAGTTCTGGGAGCTATAAGTCCAACATCAAGGTGTCATTAGGTTTGGCTTCTTCTGAGACCTCTCTTGTTGGCTTGCAAGTAGTCGCTTTCTTACTGTGTCCTCACGTGGTGTTTTCTCTTTGTGGCTGTGTCATTGGTATCTCTTTATGCATCTCAATCTCCTTTTACAAGGATACCAGTAAGGTTGGATTAAGACCTACTCTAAGGGTCTAATTTTAACTTAATTACCTCTTTGAAGACCTTCTCTCCATATACAGTTTACATTCTGTTCTCAATATTAGTGATTCTATATTTTCTTTTTGAGGGGGAGAGGGCACAATCATCGCATGGCATAAGGGAAATTAGGAAATACTTCAAGACAAATGAAAATGAATATAAAACCCCTATCAAAATATATGAGATGCAGTAAAGCTACTATTCAGAGAAATCTATACTTACAATATCTAAGTTAGAGAGAAAAAAGATCTGAAATGAATAACCCAAATGTATGTCATAAACTAGAAAAAGATCAATTAAAATCCAAAATTACCATAGTAAAGAAAATAATAAAAATGGTAGCAGAAACGAATGAAGTGAAGTACAGAAAACATTACATGTAAAATAAAAAAAAATCAAAAGTTAATCTCTGGAAAATTCCAACAAAATTAACAAACTTTAGCTCAGTTAACCAAAAACTGAAGAAGTCTTAAGTTACAAAAATCAGAAATGTAAAAAGACACAACTGACTTTACAGATATAAAAAATTATAAAAGAATACTATGAATAATTGTATACCAACAGATTGGATAATCTAGATAAAATAAACAAATTTCTAGAAACACATAAATTACTAAACTCACTCAAGAAGAAATGGAAAATCACAACAGAACTATAACAAGCAAGAGAGTTGAATCATTAGTTTAAAAAAAAAAAAAAAATCAAACTCATAGAAGTAGAGAGTAGAATGATAGTTACTAGAGAGTAGGGGATGAGCAGATAGGGAGATGTCGGTTAAAGGGTACTAAGTTTTAGTTAGACAGGAGGAATAATCATAAAACATAATATATAAATGGAACTTTATAAAAATTAAGTAGTTGGAAATAATACTCCCAAGTCATTGGGAACAATGTCAATGAAAATTGATATAAATTTCATGTATACAGAATCTTTTATACCAACACTTAGCAAAGAGGCCTTTGCTGTCCCTTAACCATGTGCAAGATAGCAAATTTTATGTGGTTTTTATGTTAATGTTTTAATTTCCAAAACATGTACATTTCCTTTAGGAACATTTTAAATTAGACAATCAATCTAGTCATCCTTACCCCCAAATTACATATCCAGACTTAGTAAAAACTTTTTCTTTTAATGTTAATTTGGGGTCAAAGGAGTTCAAAGTATACCAACCTATTCCTGTTGCAATCTGTGCCTTCCTATCATTTAAGGTATTCGTGTAAACCCTTGGAAAATGTTAACTAAATATACTGACAGAAGATTTAAACCCTCTTTTATATGCAATACTTGAAAATAATGTTATTTAGTCCATGACTAACAAGCTGAGAAGAGACACAGGATATATAAAAATGAACCATTTTATACTGCTTTTGCCAGCATCAACTGCTGCCTTACTTCTACATTACCAAGTGAAAGATTAACAGGGATTAGAAAATGAGCACATTGATTCTCAGGATATGGTGCATAATAAGGGGATGTTCTCAGAACAACACAAAATAATCTCTAAATTAATTTAATGCTTGACAAATGAAAGTTTGAGGGAGATCCATAGCTATTAAGCAAAATTCTTATAAATTAGAAACATAATCTGCAAAGGGATTACCAGTCATTTAGAAAGGCTGCTTGGCAATTATGAATATATGTGGCACACAATGCATTGGCATATGTTTTGAAAATAGATTTCTTACTTGGCACCCAGACCTCCCATTGTCGAGCATGCCTGATATTATACATCCACAGTCATTAGTAGGGCTATTCAAAGAGGTTAAAACATGAAAATAACTTGCAAATCATCATTTGGCATCTACACTGCATATAAATTGAAATGATATGCATGGCCAAATTAGTATTTTCTGTCTAATTATTTGGGTGCTAAAACAAAATATGCTTAATGTGGACATGTAGACAAAATATAAATAATTAAGCTGTAAATGGATCCTGATTTCAGAGCTTTTGACTAAAGGAGTTTTAAATCACACTCATGCTATTCTGAGAGCTACTAAAAATTTCCATAGGATGCTTAATTTTCAAATCACTAGGCCTTTTTAATATTGCATAGTGAGGTAATATTCAACATCACTGCTGTACTAATAATGTGATGGATGTCCAGTCAGAAAAACAGATAAAAAGGGAAAAGGAGGCATTCAAAGAATAAACCCAACACATATGTTCCACTCATTATTACAGGAAATAAATTCTGACCATTTATTCCCAGTGACTCACAATTAGTCTGATTTTCATTAATGAGTTCATCAACATTAGCTACTTTTATTTCACATAAGACTGTTATGTAAAATTATGGTTTTTGACCTACTTTAATTATGATAATTTGATTATGGGATCCAACACCAATAGAGAGGTATGAGTCCTTCAATTAATTAAATTATTTCTCTTTGACTCAAGTTACATAGCTTTCATTGTCAGTAAGAGATTGCCCAACTAACCACTGCATAAACATGTCTGAAGCTAGTGGTTCATGTGGTTCTACAAAAGGTTCTCTTCTTCCTTTATTCTTATTTTTTTTTTTTTTTTTTTTTNAAAAAAAAAAAAAAAAAACGCACAAATAATAACAATAACAATGGTTGGCAAGGATTTAAAGAAATTTGAACTCTCCTATATTTCTGGTAGGATTGTAAATTGGTTTACCATCTTTGGAAAATATTTTGCCAGTTTCACAAAATTTCAAACGTATACTTATCATATGACACAGGAATTCCGCCTCTATGTATATTCCCAGGAGCTCAGAAAACGTATGTCCACAAAAAAACTTGTACATCGCCCGACTAATCATTGAGTAAAAAAATGCATACGTTGTTGTGTGCATATAGAATGTACTATAATTTTGTAATAAAGATGAGTGAAGTACTAATGTATGTTACAACATGAATGAACCTTGAACACATTATGTTTAGTGAAAGAAATTAGTCACAAAAGATGACATATTGCATTATTCCATTTATAGGCAAATCTATAGAGACAGAAAATAGATTAATGTATTTTAGAGAGGGAGGAAATGGGTGAATGAAGAATGACTACTGCTGTATGTGGAGTTTCTTTTAAGGTTAATGAAACTTTTATAATATTAGGAAGCAGTGATAGTTGTATATCACTATGTGCATATACCAGAACACATTAAATTGTATACTTTTGGGCAAACTACAGAATGGGAGAACTATTTTGCAATCTATCCATCTGACAAAAGGCTAATATCCAGAATCTACAAAGAACTTAAACAAGTGTACAAGGAAAAGCAAACAACCCCGTCAAAAAGTAGGTGAAGTATATGAACAGACACTTCTCAAAAGAAGACATTTATGGCCAAGAAACGTATGAGATAAAAAGCTCATCATCACTGCTCAGCCATCTTGATGATGCATATCCAGTTTGGGGAGATCTTTAGTTTCCCAAAGAGGCCATTAAAGTTCCAAATCGTCTTCAGCCACATTATGATGACAGGAAGTGAATGAATAGACTTGCTTGAGCATATAGTCAGCAAATGTTAAAGAGGGGAATTTCAATTGACTGAGAAATTCCCATTAGGAAAAGAAGAATCAAATGGAAATCATAAAATATTCTCACAAACAGTCATGAAAAAAATTTGAGTCCACAAATCAGGAAATAAATATTAATTAAAATAAGGAGCCAGGAAGAACATATAGCCCAAAAGTTAAGGAATAATCCCCACTCAAGACAGAACCAGGAAGAAAGACTTCTAGCCTAGTAGTTACCTGAAAGACTGAGCCTGGGCCTCTTACTCAGTTTCTGCTTACCTAGAATTGTAGCACAGCTTCCTGAGTACACACAAACCCTTAAGAATCAATTCTGTCCTTACTGTTCTTCATGGGCTAGCATGTACATAGGGTCCTGAGTGAGAAGTCTGGGGGTCCAATGATTAAAGTGATTTTGAGTCACGGTACCTCAAACATTAAAGAAAAAATTACTTATGATGCTTAAAGAACAGTAAGAAAATCTTTATTAAGGGAGAGTATAATGATATTTACAGGGGTTTTTTGTAGGGGAGAGAGATTGGGCTCAACTCTAAATCAACAGTGAAAGGTAAGAATTTATGGCCAAGCAGTAAAGGTAGGGGCACAGGTTATTGAATAGAAAATTATTAAGAGGAAATATCAAGAGTAGTGAACATTTTAGCTCAACTGACATAGTCTGTTTCGTGTTGCTATAAAGGAATATCTCAGTCTGGGTATTTTGTAGCAAAATAGGTTTATTTGGCTCACAGTTCTGCAGGCTGTACAAGAAACATGACACCAATACCTAGTTCTGATGAGATCCTCAGTAAACCTCCACTCACGGTGGAAGGGGAAAAGGGAGAAGGCATCACACAGCAAGAGGAAGGAAACAAGATAAAAGGAAAGAGGAAGAAGTAGCCAGGCTCTTTTCTAACAGTTCCTCCAATCTCATAGGAACAAAGAGTGAGAAATAACTCAGTTCTGCAAGAACGCCATCATGCCGTTCATGAGGGATTCACCCACATGACCCAAACACCTCCACACTAGGCCAAATCTACAACATTGGGGGTTAAATTTTAACATGAGATTTGGAGGGGACATATGTCCAAAGTATATAATTGACCTAACAGGATTCTTTCTAATAGAAAGTCAGGATTATCAGACATCAAGTGGGAATAGTAGAATATAAGGAACTCAATTGGACATCTCGAGTAATCAGATATGTAGGGGGAGGGGCTTTGGTTAAACTGATCTAGCATGACTCTTGCTAAAACTGAACAATATGAAGATGAATATGAAGGCCAAGGACAAGTTGAGAAGAGATTTCAGAGGAATCTGGGTAGAGGAGAGTCTTTGTTGTTAGGTAAAATTCCCATTGAAATGTCAAAGACAGGAATCTGTCACCTTAGAAGACGACATTTGAATGCTCAGGAAGAAAATATTAAATTAAATAAACAAGTAAATAAAGACAATATTTATTTTATTTTTGTAAACTTTTCACGTATGCACATTAGCTTGTTTGAATGGTTTCATGTGCAATAGTGTCATTGCCTATCTTGTTTTAGTTCCTAAGTACATGCACATAACTCAAAGATGTCGAAAATATGTGTTGAAAAGAAGTATTTTAAATAAAAAAGTAGTCTTTGATCACCTCAGATCACTGTCCGGTTGTCATGTAAGTATATACCATTAATATTCAAATTAACCTATAGAATATTCTTTTAATCATTATGAAAATGACAAGAATATATTGTGTTCACAGGAGAGGTAAAGCAAGCTGCATAACAGTGAAACCCGGGAATACATTTTAATTACATCAGAGCCTCAAGCCTAAACACTGAACCAACAGAATTGTAAGTTTGATTCTTTAATCCTAATAAACATATTGAGAAATTATATTGTAAAGTGGTTAACATAGCATGTTTCCTTATTGATCTATTCTGCTTGTTTTCTTGACGTTGACATTGGGCATTCACGCAGTTACTCATCTCCTTCAGCTTTTCTTCTGGCACAGTTTTTGTAAAACAAGATTTCTTATCTGTGGGCTCTTCACACAGTATACAAAGGGGTTCATCAATGGAGGCACCAGCAGGAAAACGTCAGCTATGAGGATCCTAATGACTGGGAAACTGTGTTTGGCAAACCGGTAGATGACAGCTAGGGAGATAATGGGCACATAGAAGATGAGCACAGCACAGACGTGGGAAACACATGTATCAAGGACCTTGAGCCTTTCCTTTTGTGATGCTATGTTCAACACTGCTTTCAGTATCAACATGTAGAACGTGAAAATAAATGTCAAGTCTAGGATGGCTGTGAGAGCCACAAATAAGCCATAGATGATGTTGACCTTGTTGTCAGAGCAGGCCAGTTTCATCACATCTTGATGGAGGCAATAGGATTGGGACAGTAGGTTCTTCTTGCAGTATTTTAGATGTTTTAGAGTGAAAGGAAAGGGGAGGATCAACAAAACATTTTTGAGAGAAAAAGCAAGCCCAATTTGAATGACTCTGGCACTGGTAAGGATGGAAGTATATCTCAGGGGGTTGCAGGTGGCAATAAAGCGATCAAAGGACATTATAAGAAGTACAGATGACTCCATAGCTGAGAATCCATGAATGAAAAACTCTTGAGCAATACAGACATCAGGGGAAATTCCTCGAGCATTGAACAGAAAAATCCTTAACATGGTAGGGAGAGAGGAGAGGGATAGTCCTAGGTCAGAGAGAGCCAACATGGAGAGAAAATAGTACATGGGCTCATGCAAAGAAGGCTCTGTTTTTATAAAAAATAGAATGGTACAATTCCCAACGATGGTAACAGTGTACATGAGACATATGGGGATAGAGATCCAAATGTTGGCATGTTCCATGCCTGGGATCCCAACCAAGTAGAAAACAGAGATTTCCATTTCAGAGGTGTTGCGAATGGACATCCCAATGTGTGAGGGAAAAGATGAGAAGCTCAGAAGAGGTGTTCTGTAGAAGTAATAAGTAGATTGGCTCAAATGCCTGGCTCAGTCCTGTTGAACTCATTAAGGTCTTATAACACCAGGTATATAGACAAAATTCTTAGACACAAACCTAAAAGGAGAAATAAATAGGTAGAATCAACTAAAAACAAACTGGGAGAGAAATAATGCAAATTGATATCAAAATCTAATTTTAAAATAGATACAGATTAGAACAGATACAAGTCCTATACAAGGGCTACTGATCAACTGAGATAATTATATATACAAATATTATCTAAGTCAAAGACTTGAGACTCCTGCTTTTTAATATAAATATTGCAATATATGTCCTGTTTATGAATTTGTTTAAAATTTCTGTCATAAAAATTTAGCTGAAAAGAATTTGTTTAAAATTTTGTTAAAAATTTATAACAATTTCTTTAAAAGTTCAAAGCATTTACATAAAATTCAGAAAAAGAGACATATATGTAGTGTCTTCTATGTAAACATAGGTTTTCTTTTCCTTTCCTTAAATCTTCTTTTATAATTCTCAAAAATATGTTGTTATTTTTATAGAGGATTTTACCAAATTTATTTTTAGATCATTATGATTTTATTGCTTTTGTTTACAGAATCATTCATCCTGTATTATTTTCTATTGTTCTTACTGATTACTGATCACATAGAGAAACAACATAAATTTTTGTTGTCAAAGTCTATCATTCAATGCTCTTCTTTCTCTCTTTGTTTCTTTCCTCGCTACCAAAGATTTCTGAATGCTTCTGCATTGTCTTCTTAACTCGTTATACACCTTTGTAAAGAAATTCTAGGAAGGATTTGTATGTGGCACATATACATCGTGAAATATTATACAACCATAAAAGGAATAAGATCATGTCCTTTGCAGGGACATGGATGGAGCTGGAAGCCGTTATCTTCAGCAAACAGATACAGGAACAGAAAACCAAACACCACTGTTCTCACTTATAAGTGGGAGCTGAACAAAGAGAATGTATGGACACGGGGAGAAGAAAAATACACACTGGGCCTTGTCAGGGGTTGAGGTGGAGGAGGGAGAGTATTAGGACAAGTAGCTAATGCATGCTGGGCTTAATACCTAGGTGATGGGTTGATAGGTGCAGCAAAGCATCCTGGCACACTTATGAAACAACCCTGCACGTCCTGCACATGTACCCTAGAACTTAAAATAAAATAACATTTTTTTTAAAATGCCAGGAAATTCTGGATTAAATAATAAATTATATGCAACAAACAAACAAAACACAATAAAGAAAATCAGGCAAGTGTTAAAATAATATTTGCCTAGAGTTTTGAAGATCCTTACACAAAATCAGAAGAGGGCAATGAATAAATTTTTATTACTGTGACTAATACCAGTATGATGGCTGTCTGCCTTAAACACTAATCCAGTTGTGTCAAGTGGCCCAACTACCAACTGAGGGCTGTATCTGTTAAGCCTAGGGTCCCCTAACTCCCAAGTGTTGCTTCTGTTGTTAATCTGAAAGAAATGAGATTGAGTCTTTAATGGAAAACTGAAGATGTGTTCTAACAGGGCTTGCGAGATTGTTATTTGCTTATTTGATCCATATGACTGAATAGAGTTATTGGAGGTTCTTTCCCTCCAGGACAGAGGTTCAAAGTGTATTTATTGTTAAAATTGTTAAGCTAAGTGAATTGTTTGAGAAGAATTGGCACTTTTGCTGCTTGGGACCCTTGTGCCTGGCTTGTGTACGAAACATAGCCAGTTCAGGCCTCACTCTCTCAGCTTTCTCTGTCACTGACATCATCTCCCTTTCATGCAGTTCCTCCTGTGGATATATGAAGATACCATTCCTCTTTTGATTTCCCCCCAAAATGTTCTCTAGCAACCATTCTCCCAAAACTTTAGGTTGCCAAGATGTTGGTATTGTTTTTGGCATATAGTAACTGCTTTAATATCTCTGAATCATTTAATCAATGTACACATTTTAAAATCTGAGTTTTAAATCCCTTCATATTCAACCCAGCTAATAACTTTAAACTCATACCAGCCCTCTTTTTATTATTTTTTTATTTTTTTGAGACGGAGTTTTGCTCTTGTCATCCAGGCTGTAGTGCAGTGGTGCAATCTTGGCTCACTGCAACCTCTGCCTCCTGAGTTCAAGAGATTCTCCTGTCTCAGCCTCACAAGCAGCTGGGATTACAGCACCCGCCACAACGCCCAGCTAATTTTTTTTTTTTTTTTTTGTAGAGATAGTGTTTCACCATGTTGGTCAGGGTGGTCTCAAACTTCTGACCTCAGGTGATCCACCTGCCTCGGCCTCCCGAAATGCTGGGATTACAGGCGTAAGCCACTGCACCTGGCCGCCAGCCCTGTTAATAGTATAAAAAAGTATTTCGTAATCAGTCAGGAAAATTAGGGTATAAAAATTTCTTTCTTTAGAAAATGCCATTCATTTCTGGAAGAAAATTATTTTGCCTTAAAATATGTTACTTTTAGAGACTCTAAAGGAAAATAGAACACCACACAGTTGTCTAGTTTATAAAAATGCAAAAAAGTTGAAGTAACAGACATGGAATGCCTTTAAAAAATGAAGTTAAAATAAAACCTGGAAACCATCATTCTCAGCAAACTGACACAAGAACAGAAAATCAAACACCACATATTCTCACTCTTAGGTGGGTGTTGAACAATGAGAACATATGGACACAGGGAAGGGAGCATCACACACTGGGGTCTGTGGGGGGGAACCAGGGGAGGGACAGTAGGGGGTGGGGAGTTGGGGAGGGTTAATGTGGGGAGAAATGCCAGATATATAGGTGATAGGGAGAAAGGCAGCAAACCACATTGCCATGTATGTACCTATGCAACAATCCTGCATGTTCTCCACATGTACCCCAAAGCCTAAAGAGCAATAAAAAATATTTAAAAAATTAAAAAATAAAAAAACGTTCAATATTTATATGGAAGTTCTTAAATGAGGTTATCATGTTCTTTATATTAATAGTATAATGATGTTTAATGTTGTCAGGATGGTGTTATGAAGATTGTTTCAAACCTCGAGTATATGTTGAAATGGAAGCAAGCATTAAATGGTAAAATCGTAACAGCTTATTAAGGATAAAATACCCATCTTAATGCTCTTGATTAACGAGACTTACAATTGGAACATCAGGGTTTTCAGGTACTTACAAAGATCATACTTGGTCTATACTTCGAGGTAAAAAGGAGTTGAACCCAGGATAAAGCCACTCCAATCCAAGCTGCTAGGCATATGTATTGACCTTGCAGGTCTGACCCTAGTCCATCTACCCTGGTGCCTTTTTAGTGGAACAAAGTCCTCTGAGGATGACAACTCAGGAAGCAAGACCCCGAGGGATTAAAAAACCCACAGGTTTCTTTTTGTCCCCCACAGGTGAGTTTTAAATAACAGTGGACTCAAAAATAATCTGCTGAATTGCTATTCTGCATATAAATTAGCCATTGAGGGTTAATATCCTATGAGACCTGTCCAGCTTTATTCAACAGAATTTATTTCTCTTTCGCCTGCAGTTATAGCTTCTCCTTGAGAAGTGTTCACTATTTACTTTCCTAGGTCATTATGTTTCTGCCACTATAATTGAGTATTTAGATTCACTTTTGCTACTAGTTTATAAATGTAATGTTTATCTTATAAAGTGAAAGTTATTATTCTTCTCATGCTTAAGAGCATCTGAATTTATTTTTAGAGGCCAGTCTATGTATATTCTTTGTTCATTTTTTTAATACATATATTTTTACTGTGATATAAAGATTTCTTGCTTTTGTGTTACTCATATTTGTCTTTGATGATGTTGCAGGTTGAATTCCTTTTGAAATAAACATTGAGCTAAACATTTGTGTGCAGAAGTTTATTGAAAGTGTTTCTATGTTAAACAGCTATGAGGGAAAAATGGAAGTGGAACTAGTGGAAAGGGAAATTAAATTCCATTCAATTGTTAGAAAAGCTACATTTAATTTTGCAGAGATCTCTAGGACTAAAATGATCCCATCCCACTTCAGAATTGTCCTGAATTGGAGGAAAGGGCTGGGCCTTTTTTAACCACCTATTGACTAGCCATTGGGTGTGCTCTTTCCATGGGGGGGGCTATGACTTTGGCTAAAGTGGCTCCATTCAGAAGAAAGAAATCCTCAAGAAGGACTCAAATGATACCTGTCAGCTATAACACTCTCACTAGAGGAATGAGTGCTTCTGGCCTGGCAGAATAGGAAGATCCAGGTGATACACCAAGCACCAGCTGCAGTTCAACCATTGCACACTTTCACCTAAAAACTTCAGTAATAAATTCTGAAAGCAGATTTATCAGAATTCATATAGGCCTTTTTTGTCCATTCAGAAGTGACAGGTGAACTGTTAGTGTGATGATTCAAAGTCTACACTGCAGCTGTCCTGAGGCTCCAACTGCAATATACTATTCCTCTCCTCTGCTATCCAGCTTAGATTCCTGTACTCTTTGCTAGAACTTCATCCTTGCCCACTATAAACTTCTCAAACTGTGGCTTTTGCATTTGTCCATTGATATGGTAGGCTTTGTGTCCCCACCCAAATCTCATCTTGAATTGAGGTGTCCAGGTGTCCAGGGAAAGACCTGCTGAGAAGTGGGTTTCCCCCATGCTGTTTTTATGATAGCGAGTGATTTCTCATGAGATCTCATGGTTTTATTCCCCTTCACTTTCTTCACTTACTCTTGCCTGACATCACATAAGATGATTCTTTGCTTCTCTTTTGCCTTCCACCATGATTGTAAGTTTCCCAACTCCTAACCAGTCATGCAGAGCTGTGAGTCAATTAAACTTCTTTCCTTTATAAATTACTCAGTCTCTGGCACCTCTTTATAATAGTGCAAAGTTGAACAAATACATCCATTTACCATAAAAGTAGGGCAAGAAGGGTCAAGGGATGCCAAGGGATCACCTAATGGTAAGCACATCCTTATTTGGCTACATTGAGTGCCGGCACTTCTGAGTAATTCTGATTATTAAAGTAATTATTTTCTTTACTTACTGGCATCTCAGAATGACATGGCACCATCTTTAATAGTAATAAAATTACATGTCTTTGGTATAATACTTTTATCTCTGGA